GGGGGGGGGACATAATGGGAAACAGATTAGAGGAAATTCAGGAAATGCTGGTTCTTAGGGGGAACTTGAAATATAAGTTTGTCATCATTAAAAAAGGGAGAAATTGATAGCCTATATGTATATCTCTGTTATGTTTTGATGATCTAACAAACTTACTGTCAAGAACCAGATAATCAACCTGTTACACATTCTCAAGACCTTAAGATCAAAAGGTTCCAGCTTGGGATATGGCTCAACTCGTCAGAGTCAAAGGAACAACAAAGGGAACAAATAACTACCGTTTCCTGAGAAAACTGCACAAGTCAACTACCCCAGCTATAAAGCTGCTGCTTCCATATGCTACAGTGCAGAAACAGTATAACAGTCAACTTTATGGGGAATGTCTTTTACCTACCTTGCTTACATCATAGTAGTGATGTCACAAATGCATTATTAACATCAAAGAAGGTAAAACAAATCAGTTATTCACTTAGAGAATTCATTCAAGCTCTCACACGGTCATTGATCATCAAGCAATCAATTCTCAAGTGCATCAAGAACAAAGAACAACACTACTACTGACCAGTTCCCCACAACAAGTCATTGTATGTCCTTAATTGAGTTATAATTTGTAATAGTTCTTCAATTATAATTCCTACTTAGCTTGTTTAGAAGTATTCTGTAGGAAATCCTTTGTAAACCTTAAACTTTTATGTTTGAGTCTTGGCTAGAGTTAGTCGAGTTGTAAAGTCTTTGTAATAGAGTTATTACAAAGTGGCTTGTAATAGAGTATTACAAGTTAGTGAGGGATTAAGAGATTAATTTCTAGGTTGCAGAGGTTGTAATCTAAAAGTTGCTCAGTAGTGAAGTTGAACTCCTACAAGGGTAGGTCGTGGTTTTTAATCCGGTTGAGCTGAGAATTTTTCACGTAAAAATTCTCTTGTCATTTACTTACTACAATGTGCGTGTGTTCTAGTGGAACTGATAGAGAACGTGATTTTCTATAGAGTTTGGTGGACCCTTATATTCTATCAATAGCTCTTCAGGATGAAAGATGATGAATCCATCCAAGATATGCATACTCGC